GGCCGCTCTCCGCCCGCCGGGGCTCGCCGCGGCCGCCAGCCCAGGCTCCGGCCGCACAGCGCGACACTTTGCGACAGGCGGAAAGACGGCAGAGCGGACCGGGAGGACGCACACGCCCCCCCGCCGCCGCCGCCAACCACCACACACACACTGCCGCGCCGCGGGGCATGCTGGGGAGTGTAGTCCGGCGGGACGGAGCTGCGATTGGCTGGCGTGCGGAAGAAGGCGGGACCCCTCTCCGGCGGGCAGCCCGCTGTGCATTGTGGGATGGCGGTGGGTCCGCCGGAGCTGTGAGGAGAAGGGCTGGGCGGGCGGAGCGGGGCCGGGTTTCCCCTTCCCCGTCTCGTCCCAAGCCCGGTGGTTAATTTTAATTTGAGAGGGCAGGCTCCGCCAGGTCCCGCCTTGGTTTCACCTCTCCCGCTGAGGAGAAGGGGCTGCCCCCGCCCGGGGCCGGGGCCTGCGGTCGGCCTCGGGGCCTTGGGCTGCATCCCCCTCTAGCGGGGAAGCGCTCCGCGGGCGGCGGGGGCCCAGGCGGGGAAACGGGCACGGCCACGGCCAAGTCCCCCTTAGAAAACCACCCAAAACGTGGCTGCGGGTGTTCTGCCGCCCCTCCCGCTCGTACTTCGCGCTCTGTGAAGCGCCGGCACAACGTTGCCACCTCACAGGGATTCCTGTCGGCTGTTGCTGAGGAAAAGCTTGCGCGAGTAACGCACAGAACCGTTCGTCTTGTCCACGAACGATGTCACGGTTCAAAACTAGTCGTTAACGTTGTCTAGTTGACTTAAGTACGCTTACTTTCGGTTTTATTTCCGTCTGCAACTGGCTGCTGCCATGGAAGGACGGAAATGAATAGTGGGGTTTTACTGCAAATACATTTCCACTGTGTGGGGTTTTGCTCTTGCCTAGCAAACAAAAAAAAAAGTGAAAAGCATAGATAAAAGCAGAGGTGTCTAGCCTTCTTTCCAAAATATCTCGTTGAAAGTGAAAAGCATGTAATTTGTTTTCCAAATAGAAACGCCGATTTCTACTTTAGCATGAGACAAAATTGTCCTGTTTTCTAGAAGCAGAAGATGCCACTGGTTTCACTGCGCTGTGGAACAGGTCTGTCTCAGGTTGCTTTGATAGAGGCAGGCAATGGAAAGAATTGGTCCCTATCGCATTTTTTCCTTATATATTTGAACTAATAGTGTTTTTCTTATACGTCAAGATCACACAAAGAATATCAACGGTCTGTTCTAACCAATATACCAAGTCCTCTCCATTTTCTACCTTGGTAGACACCAGCAAGTCACACTTTGTCTCAGAGACCAAAAGCTGATTTGGCGCACCACGCATAAATCTTAGATTATGGATTTAGCATATTCACACGCCTGCTTTGGCTGTTGATCTATTTCTATCTATGCCTTAACTACAGCTGGAAAAAGGACAGAAAGGACATTTTTTTTGTTCACTTCTGCTGCATCTTTGCATTTACTGAGTGGGCTGTATAATACAACGCAAATAACAATAGCGTCACTTATAATGGATATTAAACATTGAAAGCTAAAGCAGCAAACCATTTTTAGCTTAGGTAAGTGTTGCAATTTTCTGGTAATCACAAAGAAACGTAAATGAAGTTTGCGTGTCTTCACTGCTTCAAGAAAGACATCTTTGTGTTCTCAACCTGCAGAGCAACTCCGTCGTACCCTCCTACTCATCCGCTTCCACTGATCTCAGGAGCGGGTCTCAGATGGTTTGCCAGTATTTAAAAACACTGCGACCTGAGGGGAAATCAGGAACTTATCAGCATAGCTTTATCTTTGTCTTATTAATTTTGAAAGTGCTTATGTTAACATCTAAGAGCAGTGTCGAAGTAAGACAAACCCAATATTTTTCAGTTCTAGCATTTCTTATTTTCTGTTTCATACTCCTGTCGCACACGCCTGGTTTTGTTAGCATCTCTGTAATTTACTGACCAGCTGGGGTCTTTTGGGGTTTTATTTTTGCCATGATCTTTAAAGGTATGTTTCCTTTCTAATCCCTTTCACAATGTTCCTTGCCCTGTGCCTACACTCTCTGCACTTCCTTGTGGCGGGAGTCCAAAAAAGCTTAGGAAATACTTCACTATACAGAGTCTTCTCTGTTGCCTTGTGCAGCAAGCCAGCTCATCTTACAAATCAAACAAGAAGCTCTTTCTTGCCTCCCATAAGGCAAATGACAAGCTGCAACAGTCATCTATGGCTCATTTTAAACACATGACTGCGTGCTGATAAAGGCACTATCAATTGAAGCGGCACTTGTTTTTGCATGTACTTCAGAGACTTCTCTGCATCGTTTCCTTGTTTCCTCGTCAGCATGTGGAGGTTTGATTCAGGCTTTAAATACTGTCTTGGCAAAGTTACATTTTGCAATACCACAGCTATAATTATTTTCAATGTTAGTGGAGAACACAACGTACAAATGCAATTCTGACAAGACCTGAGTATCCTCACGTCTCCATGAAATCCCTGGAGGCTTGACTTGTCTTTATTGTAACTAGCTCATCAGTAGACTATAGTACTTTCGCCAACAAGTAACATGCAGATGTCACACTTTCATTTTAGACTCCTGGATCCCTATCTAATTACCTAGACAAGTATCAGAAGCATTCGTTACATCTTCATAATATTTACTTTTTTTTTTTTTTTTTTTGGCTCAGCACTTTTGATAACCAGGTCACAGCCGCAAGCTTTACTACAAATTAAAAGGGAACATCAAGGTTTCCTAACAGTACTCACGGAAAGTGTGAGTCATTAAAGAAATATTTGCTACACAGAAACTTGTGGAAATAAGGCTACAAGGGAGTTTTTCCTTCTAGGCTCCCAGAAGCAGGCTGTGACACTTGCTTCTGCTGAATGTTTATCTTTTGCATAGTTTCGATTTTATATGAACATTTGTATCAACCAGATAAGGGTATTTTCTTTTTCCTCAGATATTTATGTTTATAAAGCAGAATTATTAGGTATCCCAGAACAGCTGTTGCGGTGCTCCATGTCACAGCTGGGTCTATACAGGTAGCAGTTAAATGATATATGAAGCCTGTCAGGAACAGATCTGCTTAATATGTTTTGTTTTATTTCCTGCTATTGATGATAGACATTATGACATGGATACAGTTCTTATTTTAAAACAGACCATTTTTCCTTATTTCCCAAGTGCCTGGTCCACTGAAGTCAATAGGAAAGCTTTCATTGATTTCAATGGGATTTCAATCAAGCCCTAACACAGCATGCAAAATGCTTCCCAGATTTATAGGTCTGGTTCTAAAAACTAAATGAAAGAAGAAAATAGTTCTGACAAGAAAGAAATATGAATGCTAAGCACAGCCTTAAATAGCAGTCTGTCAGGAGGAGCATGAAATGTAGCTCTTTCAATGGCAAATAAGATGGCCCCTTGCAGAATACTGGCAGAGAGCAGATAAACCGAAAGGGAGGTTTGAGCGCTCATTATTTTTGAGACATATTTTGACAATCTCCAAGAGATGACTTGCTCAAGCTCAGAGAACTGGTAGTCTGCAGTCTGTGGCATACCCCTTCCAACAGCAACTACTGCTTAGGGCAAGCCGATTAGCGTAAAGTTTTCACAAAAATGTGCCAGTTACGGTACGGAGAGACCACTCAGTGTTTCTTGACTGTATACAGTCAGCAAGCACAGACTATATACAGTCTGCTTCATTATATTAGAGTCTCTTAATTGGTCTCTGCCTAGGAAAAAAAAAAAACCAAAACAGCTTATGTGAGACGTCCTTGGGAGCTAAAGGCTGTTAACACATTTTATCAGCACTATCGATTTCTGAGAGTTCAGAAGAAGGAAACACAGCACAAGCAGAAATCAGCTGCCTGAAGAGGAACAATCCCTGCCATCTTCCACAGGCAAAAGAAAGCAAAAGGAAGAGTATACCTCGAACATAAGGAAATCCCAACTACCCCCCACCAAGACAGCAGGAGCGTGCTCGTGCTGGGTGCCAGCACGGTGCCTTTGGTGGAGAAGAGAAGCACGCGTTCGCCACACAGCCAGGGAACAGCAGAGTAAATGTAAGCTGCTGATCAAAACCAAATGCAAGCGCTGCAGAGACATTTGTCTTTTCTCCTGTACTGTGCTGGACATACAGGCATGCTCTTGCTGTGCAGGGCACAACAAAAATACATAGTCAAATAAGATCACGTTCTCCCGAAACTAACAAAAGAGTTGTAGGAGACAGGCCATGGTCTGGTCTCTGTTATCCCTGGGTGCATATGCAAAAACTCAGCTGGGTAATTTGCATTTAGGGTAACTGGGAAAGTTTTACATTAGGTTCAAGTGCATACCTGCTTCTGTCCTTTAGCAAGTAAGGCTGCGTTCCTCCTCTCCAACCTTACAAAGAGAACAGGACCCAGAACTGTGTGAAGCTGTTTATAATGAAAATATATTTTCAAACCAGCTCCCTTTTCTCTGCCTGAACGCCATCATCAGCAAGATATTAAGAGCACAATGACTACAGTATTGCATCCACTGAAATTTTTCCAACTTCCTCACCAGTGGTCACATTCCCTGCATCATCTGTGCCTGATATGAGGGCCCTGAGTGCACTAATTGGCTATAATTAAGATGAGCAGCCTCACCTAGGACCCCCATCCATCAACCTTCTGCCCTTTTGTCCAGGAGTTCCATTTAAGCTCAGAGCTTGAGGTTCACTCCTTACCTGTGCTGTGTATGTCTTGTTACCTTTCTGTACCAGGTCCTTGCATGTTACTCTCTACCACGTAAATTATTAAACAGGATTATTTCAAGGTGTGTCACTCTATTCCTGGATGCGAGGGTAAGTCTGTTTGTGGCCCTTGGGAACAGGCAGAAGAGACAGCCCTGCGCAGCCGTGTTCCCTGGGCCAGAGCCTCAGCTGAATGTACGCTGGATGCTCTCTTATGTCAGTACAGCAATGCCCTAACCCGAGCCCTGAGGATAGCAGGATGGGTGGCATCTGTATCCTGTAATTTTATAGCATGTATATTTTGCTCATATGGGTTTGGTTTTGGTTTTACAGCACCAATACAAAGCACAATTCTTTTAGCATAATTACACTACAAGCATTTTTGTGGCATGTGATAGGGGTTAATCCTTCTAACTGTGGGCATGACCAGACTATTCTGTCCCATAAGCCAATATCAGAAGGAACTTACATTTACATAATAAAATGTATTGGCTGATATTCATCAGTAACCTTATTTTGGTCATTTCATGGGCCTTTGGTCGGCCAGTCTAATATATCTAGACTACACTGGGCCAGTGCAAGCAATAGAAAGGACTCTGAAATCGGTGCTTTACAAAACCAGCTGCCTGCCTCCAGTACACGTGAAAAACCTGGAGTGGAATCTATCAGTGCTTGTGCACCACAAAACATGAAGACAATTCTCTACCACCAGGGAAAGCCTCAAGCATCTGGAAGTCCACAATGCACGCAGGCAGCCAGCCACAGCTCTTACCCGGAGCATGAACCACCCCTCGTGTGCAGTTACACAAAAGGTGAGATTTTGGCCGTATCTGAGCTACCCTTGGCAGCTGATACCATGCTGGGAGGTCACACATTCTTGTCCGTTGCATGACACCACCAAAGGCAACGCTCCCACCAGCCAGTGAGCCAGCGCCACGGGTCCGGGTCCGGCTGTGCCGCTGCCAGCACAGGGCCCTGGCACCGCCTGGTCCTCACGGGGGATGTGATGCCACTTTCACGCAGTTTTCCTCAAACCCGTGGCTGTCAGCCCTTGTGCTGGGTGTTGCTCACGCAGGTTCTCCACCGAGGGTCCCCACCAAGACTGGTCCCCACTGCCCGCGCTCAGCAGCTTATCCGGCGCTGGTGTGGTCTCACTGGGGCCAAAGTGGATACGTGGCTGGGTCCCCGATGGATTTAGGTTCTTCAGGAGAGGCCCGATGCATTTAACCCAGAAAAAAGCTGCGGAGGCTGTTTCACCGATGCTGTTTTTACAGCCCGTCATTAGATGTCAGCCCACTCCCCTGGGACCGCGGTGCTGGGCAGGTCGTCAGCCACATGGGCGCATCCAGCAACACATGCTTATACGGTAGCATTTGGAAATAAACACAAAAGCCCTGGTTTTATTAATGTAAAAGGAAGGAGCAAAATAGCATGTAAATTTTCTGCTGTTTCATCATGTTTTCTCATTTGACTTGCTCCATTATCTCCTGGTAATCTTCCGCCGAGCCTCCGCCTCCGCTGGGGTGTGCAGGCTATTGTAAGCTTTCTAAAAGCACCCCATTTATCAGACAAGTGCTTCTTGACTAAAAGCAAAAAGGAAACGCTAGACTTCTCAGAGCAGATTTTGTTTATTGTATCATTAAGTATTTCATTTCTTTCTCACAATGTATTCAGAGAATATGCATGAGTCTGTGAAAACTTTGGTTCCAGCAAAATAAGGGTACATAATAGAATACATTAAGTAACATTTTCAGAGAATCTGCCAAAGCTTTTGTACTTTAATCTTCGATCCAGGTTCCCCTTTCCGCTTCTTTAGCTGAGAATTCAAATACAAAGATGTGTTGGGTATAAAAGCACAACAATTTTAGTCATTTAAAAAAAAAAAGAAAAGTGAAAAGGATTTTGATATTAACTGATGCCAGTAGGATTTTCTCAGTAGTGAGGAACTTTTTTAAAAGGGACATTACTGATACATTTATGTACAAAATTTAAGAAATGTTTGGGAGTTTTTCATAATGGAGTGAATAGAGTGAAAACTTTCATTCCTCCTAGACTTCCTGCAGGTAAGTGTAACAGCAGCGTTGTACCAGTTACTGAGAGACATCAAGATAAGAAACCATTCTGGTCTGATATTTCCAAAACGAAAATAAAAACTCCCAGCATAAACAGTGATGGGCAGATCAGCCGGTAAAGCTGTCATTCGCCTAGAGGTGGAGCCAGTCATCTGCAGGGCTGAACCCAGGGGAAGGACATTTTCTGAGCAATAATGCAGGAAAACTGGAAAAAAAAATGTAAGTCATGTATTTACTTGAATAATGGCTATATGTGCGTGATACATCCTCAGCAGTAGTGAGCAGCAGATTACTGGAAGGTTTAGAATACATTTGTGATAGCTACAAGAGAATTTTTCAGGGGAAAATCTGGGACACGTGGCTGGGGTGGGGAGGAAGAATCATTGCACAAGCAAAAACAACATATAAAGGGGAAGAGAACACGTAGCACCTCCCTTACAGAGTAATGCTTTGCTGCCCTACCATATAGAGCCCTACTACTGATTATTGTCTTGCACAGTGCTTTTAGGTGTTAGGCAGCACTTCTCTTGCTGTTTCAAAAATAGGCCTTTCTAGGACAGTTTAATCAGATAGTAGGAAAGTTTTCTCCATCACATCTTTCATTTGCTTTCACATCTAAGACATTCTGGAAAATAATTTGCACAGCACATGTCTAGCTGGCGTGAACCACCAGCATGCAGCAACAGAAGAACTGGCGCCCAGTCTTTGTTTTGTATTAGATACTGGATATCAACTTCCTCATTCTTGGTATTTTCTCAGAAAATGGAAAAACAGCATCCATAGTTCCTTGGGCTGGAAGATAATGCATGAATTCACCATGTCTTGAGTTTTAAACTGGACTGCTCTCTTTCCATAGCTCTAAGAGAGGGAGTACTGATCCATTAAAACTTTTTTCCAATAAGTTGTCAAGGTGGGGAAGGCTCTAATGACAGTCTATAGTGTGATTTCTTAGTCCGCTTTCAATTCAGTACTTAGAGGAAGGTCCACCCTTGTATTCTGCGGGACCTGGTGCCGCTTCCCACTTTCCATTACGTGTTGCCCAGGTGTCCAGAAGTCGACACCTGCTCTGATCCACTCCAAAATCTCAGCTGGCCAAACTGATGTCCCCTCTGTAAAATACTTCAGGGTGAAAGGACTTGCACAAATGCAAGAGGTTTTACAGACAAACTTAAACACAGAAATAATGAATGCAAGAGATTTTTAAGAGGTGTTAGTCAAGGACCAAAGACACACAGATTCCAGCGTCTAGCCCTCATGATTACTGTTCTTACTAGCACAGCAAGTGGCCTTATCTTAATCAAACTTCACAATCGGTGCTCCAGCCTCATCATCCTCAAACTGCCCAGAGCTTTGGCATCATTCACCACCCACAATCTTGCCTTGCCTGGCTTCTTTGCTCAGTACTCTCTAATTTTATTCCTACTCCTTCAGTTATTTCTTCCCTTCAGCCTCTCTTCCCCCACCCAGGTTGTGTTTGTGTCCCTGGCTTAATTTTCTCTCCTCCTCCCTTCCTTTCTGGCAGTAATACAATCTCAACATATCAAATACTATAAGCTCAACTTCAAAGAGAGCTTTTCATTTCCCTCCAGACTCACTACCTTATCTCCTTCCCTTACCTTTCCTCTTGGGCACAATCCCATCCTCCCACCTGGGTGCTGCCCTGGCTTGGGCCTTCATGTCCCACATCCTGCCATTCTTGGAAATTGGTGCAAGTAACATTTTGGCATATGCCCTCTCTTACCCACCCAAAGGTGTGAGTCTCCTGAGCAGATCTCCTCTTTCCTCAGTTACAGTGACCTTTTTTTCACTCACCCTCAACAATTGCGGTCATGTTCCCCCCTTATCCATTGAACTGACAGTGTTAGTAAATCATGTCAGACCCTTCTTGAGTTTCTGGACCCCCTCCTCCCTCACATCGAACAGAAGCTTCACTTTCAAGGTTCTTTATGATCCAGTTCTTGCCTTTCATTAAGTATCAGGAAACCAACTCTGTCCTCCAATCCGTTCAGGATAAAAGCCCTTACTCCCACTTGTTAAAACACTCACCCAGGCACCTTTGTGCTTTTTCCCAGGCAGCTATAAGTACCTGTGAAACTATCCTCATTATCCTTAAAATTCTCCTTTGACATTACATCAACAAAATCCTTAAGTGTTAGGCTGCCAATGTGCTGAAACCCTCTAACAGTGGCTGCTATTTCCTTCTGCCTCCCTCCCTGTCTATGTCCATTCATTAGTTCTTGTCTGATAGTGAGATCTCAGGCTTTGAAGGACAGACATTGCCTTTCTCTTTCACAGCCCCCACCACATCGGGGTCTTGATCTGTGACCAGCTGCTGTATTACAACAGTAGGGGAGTAAATTAATCCATAGCCTTTTCCCATCAAAATTATGCTTCAAACTTTTTTTCTAATTGATAGCATACCTCTCCCAAGTTCACCATGCACTGCAGGAATTTAGGTGCCAACGACACAGGTAACATTGCATAAATAAAAGGAAGCAATGAACCAGCAAGGACATAGATGAACATTATTGAAGAGTGATTCTGACTTCATATCAGAATGAAAGAAAATATAAATATGGAACTTCCTGATGGCACATCAGCAGAAAAATGATAAAAACATCCAAAAGCATTCCTGGGAGGGTTTTTAACCTATATTACAGTATTTTAAACTCACACCTTTGCTTCTGTCAAGTATTTGTATCTAACCACTGGTAGACCTTATCATTAAATGAGAATAGAAGGAGAAGGAGGCTTTTAAAGGATTCTAAAACTCTAGCACCGTTTAAATGTCATCTTCTGACGTTGCAAAAAATATCAAATCTCATCCTGTTTTGTGGTTGTTCCATGGTAATAAGTAACATATTATACTTCAGGACAGTTAGTTTCTCTGCCCTTGTCACTTACTGCAAGTTGCTGCTTCCCTGCTTCAAGACTGATTCACCAGGACAAATTTTATTCCTAAATCAGAGACCTATCCACTTGGCTTCATAGACGTCTCTCTGGAAGTAAAAGCAGAATTCAAAGAAAATACTCTTCATATTCATATAGTAAAAAATACTGTGTTTTCCTGTTAGACAACAATATCTAAGCCATAAATCCTTTCTAGGGCAACTTTTGCTGGCAGAATTATAGTGGCAGCAGAGCTAGCATAGCATTCCTGATGCTTTACCCTGCAAACACTACCAGTTTGACGTATGCCTAAGTCTAGAACAGAGGGACTAAGCCTTTAAATAGCTTAATTCATTGGTGCAATTTCTTTGATATATATCAGCTGAAAATGTCACCCAGGATCAAAATCATAATGGAGATGTGACAAAATGGAAAACAATGCAGGAGCAAATATAAACAAAATAAACTTTATTTACAGTGAATAAAAGGACATGGGACAATAACAAACAAATCACATTCTTTATGTGTACTCATTAGTGTGGCTTAAGGCATGTGGAAACTCTAATACAAAACTCATTGCTGCAATGCATAATTAAGAAAAGCACAGGGACTACTTACTGTTACAGCAAGAAATCTCAGCTGAATCTAACCACCTTTCATACAGTTTTCTTCAAGCATTCTCTGTTGAGGTGCAATGGGAATTACCATATTGTAAGTAAGCTTTATAAAAGAAGTTAAATTCTATGCAAAAAAACCCAAATAAGTAAATCACTATGGAGGAACTGGTTGAATTGGACAAAATAAATGAAATAATACTTTGTAATCTGTTACTTAAATAAAAATAAATAAAAAAGGAAGCAAGTAGCCTGTCATGTGTGTTACCTTCACAGACAGGAAATCACTTTAAGTTCTGTTTAAAAGTTTCTTCTGTAACTGAAATAGGTAAAGAAAAGCCCGTATGACAAAAATAAGGGGAATTAGGTCAGCTTCTGGACTCATCTGTCAGTGTAAATGCAGCACATCTCCAGCTCATACAATTCCAAAATCATTTAAAGTGATTGTTTTCCAGTCAATCTTCCATCGCCCACCTTTCTTTTTGCCAGAGGCCAGAAATAGCACATCATAATTTATCCTCTATGTCAAGCTTTGCAACAACTGCCTCCTTCTGAGCCACTGAACTCAGTTTACTGCATCTGCTTTCAATACACACACTGGAACCATATTTTCTCTATTGCATTCACCTGTCAAGTATGGTTTAAGAGAACACGCTTCAGATAATGCTAAGAAATGCTACATCCACGAGACTGCTCCTGTGCTTATA